TGCCCTCTTCTGGGCAAATATAGTATTACACTGCAGGCTCTCGTCAGTGAGCGAAACAGTGAGGTTGGAGACTTTAGATGTTCGAACTCTCAGTTTTGTTTGATTGTGACCATTTTAAGATCTGGTTGTTTTGTAGTATTTTCCTTTACAGTCCTTTTACTTGGCTTCTTACTATGAAAAAAATCAAACAATCTGTGAGATGGTACAGCGAAACATTGTTGAAGGCTTTTCTTTAACATGGGTCAGAAAGACTGATATGATGGTGAGCCTTAAGGGATAAAACAGTAAAGAGCATGTGAGTCGATGCATGTTTTGATATCCTGTCTTTATTGTCTTATCTATGATAAAGAATTGTTAACTTAGGGCAGTAGTGGTCAAACCTCTGGACTGACCCAGAAGGGGCACTACTGCTGTATTCTTGAGCAAGACCCTTCCTACAACTGTGCAAATGTAAGCTGATTTGGTTAAATAAGTAATAATGACATTAATCCATAGCACAGAAAACAGAAACAATGAAACAACACATCACTGTATCAGCATGGGTTTTCAAAACCATCATCTAGGGAAGAATGGACAGAGGCATAGATAACTGGACTGGACAGAGGCAGAGACAGCTCCAGTGGACAGGGAGATGGACAGAGACAGAGACAGCTCCAGTGGACAAGGAGATGGACAGAGGCAGAGACAGCTCCAGTGGACAGCAAGATGGACAGAGGCAGAGACTGCTCCAGTGGACAGCGAGATGGACAGAGGCAGAGACTGCTCCAGTGGACAGGGAGATGGGCAGAGGCAGAGACAGCTCTGCTTGACAGAGAGATGGACAGAGGCAAAGACAGCTCCAGTGGACAGGGAGATGGACAGAGGCAGAGACAGCTCTGGTGGACAGGGAGATGGACAGAGACAGCTCCAGTGGACAGGGAGATGGACAGAGGCAGAAATTGAGTTAGAGACAGAGCTGCTGACAGAGAGACAGTGGGGCTGGAAACAGACAAAGGGACAGACTTTTACAGTATATTTTACCGAGGGGTGGGTCAGAGGGACGGCGAGTCCTCTCTTCTCTGGACCTGCACTGAGGGACCAGAAGGAAGAGACGTACAGTGGCTGTCCAAACCCCTAAGGGCTCAGATACATCTGCTTCACTTTCACCCCCATAACCTTGGGATTTGGAAAGAGGCACTTTTATGAGAAAGAGATGTAGGACCCCCGTGTTTTTAAAAGGCAGTTCCAATCCACATGGACGTGTAATGTGGATGTTAAGAGCTTTGTGGAAGGGCCTTCAGAATTTAAGGTCTTTATTTGAAGCAGCTGGCTGAGAGACCAGGGCTGTGGAAGCAGGGGGAGTTGAAAGGTCAGGGCTAACACCAATCACGAGCTGCCTTTGATGCTGACACGTTACAGGCTGAGTGTACCACTCCACTCACGGAGTGAAGGTGGGGGGGGGGACTCCAGGGGACCCCCTTGTACTTGTAATCTTTATGGGCTCTCTAAACGTTTCTTTGAATCAGACTGCAAGAAGAAGGGAACCTCATTTTGTTTAAGTTGTGGAACCCATTACCATCAGTCACGTTAACCTTTTCAGACTGCGTTTCTCTGGGCATCCAGGCGCTCAGGTATTTACAGTCCCCAGCTCCCCTCTGCTGTGGTCATGTACACTTCCCCTTCCCTGCTTTATTGGAACGTTTACGGCTGCTTTTAGAAGAAACGCATCCAGCAACCAGGCCTCACAGAAGGAGGGGGAACCTCCTATTTTGTTAAGGCAGCCAAACTGTTTTTCTGTTTACAGAATCCCAAGATGAGATACCTGATACAAAGGCCACCAATCTGAAAGCTTGCAAGAGAAATCTTTCAGCTTCTAAACCACAGATGAGTATGGCAGACCATATAGTACCTTCTGTAAGACGTACCTCATATTCTGCATCCATGGATACAGTCTTGTTAAGACTTCATTTTCATTTAGAGTCTTCATTCACATACTACATCTGACGTGATCTTGCTGTGATAGTCATGGGACTACTTTTGACATGATTCCATCAAAATAAAGACCCAGAGAAAAAATACACAATGAAATCAGAGTGAAAAAGGGCAATATTTTTGTAATGTGAATTGAGTTGTATTTCATATTACTACTTCTCACCAGCTGGAGTGAAAGAGGTTGCACAGCAGGAATTAGCTGTGTCTGAAGCCACTACACTCAATTCCTAAGGACCCTAATTGGGTCCGGTGGTGTCTGTAGCTCCAGCTGGAATTCCAGTAAAACATCCCTGAGCAGCTCGTTCCATTGCTCTGCGATCACAAAGCACCGCGGAGCTCTCTGCACAGTCTCTCGAGTCAGAATGGCTCCTGTTCGCATCCAGACAGTGGTCGTCAAACACAGCACACCCTTGCTCTCCCACTGCTGCCACCAGCTGGTGAGTAAGCTTCATAGCAGCCCACGCCCCCTGACCTCCCTGCTCCCTGCAGCTGCGGGCTTGAGCAGCTCAGCGAACGGAGTGCTGGGGAGAGTGGGAGACAGTCCCATGTCTCTTTCATCCCTGCCACAGGGGTGGGAGGATCACTAATGTGATGGCGCAGTCGCGGCCAGAGTCTTTGTGGGCACTGTGGGTGGTTACGGTGGATGTGAAACAGATGTGCCTCTGACGGGAGTTGGCCTCCACTTTATTACCAAATTAACTGAGCCAGTGGAAGGCAATTAAAAACCAATTAGAATACAACGTGTTGCAAACAGATCTGCAGGGTGAAAACATGTGGTGCTAACCTTGTGCCCAGAGACCACCTGCTTTACACAGCACTGCCAGGTGGCCGCAGCATGTTGCTGGGACAGTGGCTGGGACACAGCCCTGCTGCCCTGTGAGCAAGAGTGACAGTTTTCTGCCTTCTCCTGGCCCGCTCCTTATCAAACCTCACTCAGCCTCGTGGTTACCAAGTCAAAGGAGTCTGATGAGTAAAGCACACCTGCCTGAGGTCAAATCCTTTTGCAGAGAAAAGCAATTTGAACAAACTGTTGCATCCCCCCCCCAGCCTCTCCCTCAAGCTCTTTATTCTACATTCGGACTTTTCCAGTAAAGGCTTGTAAAACACAGCCAGACATATTGTTTTTGTGGTCTATTACTACCTTGTAGCCTGAGCATGTCAGATCTAGGAAGGCCTGGTCAGTACTGTAAAAGGGGGTATCTGAGGAAAAAGCAGGTTGCTGCTACAAGTTGGTGGACCAGTAGGTGGCGATCTCCCCTTGACCAGCATTGTCCAACCAATGCCCAGGAATGGTAACTGTGGTATTGTCCTTTGAATGACATGTTAACCCGTGGTTCTGATTACTTCTGGTCAGTAAATATCCCATGGTACTATTTGTAAGCATAGGGTGTTAACTGCAGTGCCGAGGCCAAATTCCACCTTAAGCATTTAAAATCTCCCTCAAGTTTACCCTTCACTCACCTGGCGAAGGACATTCTTGCTTCTCTGCTTGATCTGCTGCGCGGCGGAGCTGGTAAAGTCCCCCAGGTACGTGCTGCAGTTCATGGAGAGTGCTTTGGGATCCTCTGGTATGGAAAGCACTGCACAAATGCAAGGAATTACTCGTTTTCTTTTAGGATTCTGTCTGTTTTATCCTTTGCAGAACGAGCTGTAAAGCGAAGGCCGAGGTGTCTGAGAGTGTCTCCCAAGCAGCAGGTCACAGCTTCAAGGTGGCAGGAAGTCAGGATGGGGCAATAATCGAAGGACAGAGTCTGGCAGATCTGCAGTGTGATCAGACTTGAAGATCCTTTTCAGAATCAATGACTGTCTTATCTAAAAGAGCAAATTGCAGAGAGCTTGCTGAGGGGATGCTTACTGTGATAGTAAGATATGGAAATAACCTGAAGGAAAAACATACAAACTCCACACAGAGAGTACCCCAGGTCTAGAACTGACCCCAGCAATGCTGACCACTGCACCTTATTATATTATTAACATAAAGCTACATTTCAGCTTAATTTAGCTCATTGGTTTATAATAAATAATGTCATAATTAATAATATGTGTATAAATGCGATTTAATTTTCACAAGGCCCCAAGTGGAGAGTAAGTGCCAGAAGGTGTCGCTGTTCTGTCACTTTTATGATCGAGCCGTTTAACGCCCGAAAAGGCCTGCCGTGGAGGTGGTTGTTACAACACAATTCACATAACGTGTTTGCGCTCGGTTAATGTACCTGCACATATTCTGAGTTATTCAAAATACAGGGGTGTTGCTGTACAATGGTAAGAGCAAATTAAAGCTGGCGTGCGAGAAGAAGCCATTCGCTTCTCGTTTGGCGGAAGAGCTCGTTCGGTTGGTTTTGAAAGAAGTCCAGGTATCGGTTTCAGCAATATGGCCGGGTAGTTTGTCCTACAGCCTGAGAGCCCTTTGAGTAGAAAAGTGTCTCCTCTTCCACCTCGTTTCCACTGGCTCGTGTTCCCCCAGCTGAAAACGACGTGTCATTTCGATGTGTGATTTCTCATACTCACCGTGTGCGAGAGGAGGGGATTTTTTAGACCATATATGTCTCATTTGCGACCATCGCACAGCCGATGCATAAACTATAAAAGTATAAACTAGTTATCTGCTCGCACTTTCCTATGGTCCTTGATAGACCTCGCTCAACACGCTCTCGAGAAGGGAGGTCTGCATTTCGGAAGTTTATTCGTGTCGAGCGAATTCGTTTCTCCAGGAACATGCGCAGGGTCATGCTCGCCAGAGTAACAAAATGCACTAACACAGGTTTAGAAAAACCGTGTTTCTGGGCAATCATTTTCCCCCCCTTCCTTAGATAATCCACCCCACCTCTACCTGTATCATCTGTCAAAGCTGAGCACCGCGGTGCACTGTGGTTATTGTAGTCTCAAACGAGCTGCAAGTCAGCGCCTCAAATGGCAAGAGGATCTGGTTAAACTACATTTTCCGATCCGCGTTACTTACACTTTATTTGCATACGCATACCTTCTTAAGGCTTTCAAAAAAAAAAGAAAAACGCCAGAAAGTAGTTGTACTGCACAGGACCTAAGCGCATGTTAAGAGTTGGGCAGCCTGGATTTGACCAGAACTAAAGCGACCGTTTTGTCCTTTCCTTTTTCTGACTTGCTTGTCAACTTTCACGAATCTCTTTTACTTCCCTTTACGAGACCTAAACCTCAGTTGGGGCTCTTCCTTATTATGAGTCGCTGTCAGAAGCGCGACTGCACTTGACTAGCGCGGTATGATTGTGCACTGACAGCCGAAATCACAAGGGCTCTCTGGAGCGGCTGGGCAGTCTGCGCCTCACCGGGACGCTGGGCGTTGCAGCGGCGGAGGATGTGGAGCTCAGTGCGGTGTGGGTGAGCAGCTCAGCGCGGTCCTCACACCTGCTGGCGTTTTCTCATTCTCATAAGGCAAATCTTTTTAATCGGGCTACGGTACGTGACAAGAATGAAAGACCACTCGAAGAAGAAGAAGAAAACCTGAAGCTGATTGATGTTATTTCTCCCCGTTGTGTGTTTTCGCTTTTAACTGTTCCTTTGAGCTTTTTTTTTATTTTAAACCGTTTATTTTTTTTTCTTAAAAAAAGGCAACTTTTTAAAAAGTAACGCTGTCGGACATAATTGGGTGGCGTTTTGTTTTCTTGTCGTCTTCTGTTTACGTTCTGATCAGAGCAGATCGGAAGGCATTTAACCCGGTTTTCAGAATGAAATTCAACGGATACATGAAGCTGCGAATCGGCGAGGCTGTGGACCTCAAGCCTACGACATTCTCACTCAGGCATTCCGTAATTTTTAATAAGTCCGGTTTCCTGCTAGACCCTTACATTGTGGTCCGGGTGGACGAATGTAAGATTGGACAGACGCACACCAAGCAGAAAACTAACAAGCCAACCTACAACGAGGAGTTCTGTCTCAATATCAACGACGGCAAGAAGATTGAGTTGGCGGTCTTTCACGACGCTCCAATTGGATACGACGACTTTGTAGCCAATTGTACCATCCAGTTCGAAGACTTGATTAAAACTTCCAACACAGAAGAGACGTTCGAGGGATGGGTGAGTCATACAAGGCTAAATTAGCGCCTTGTCCATCGCCATTCTAACAAGTTGACGCGTTTTTGTTTTATTAGTACATCAATCCACAACAGCTCACTTAAGTGCGAGCTCTTCTAAATTCCTGCTTTTCAAAAGCAAGATGCAATATCCTTGTAACCTTTCGATTACAAACGCTCTGTTGATGGGCGGAGAACTGTGTGACCCCCCCTGGTTTTGGTAAATTGTGCAGTTTAAATGAGTGCGCACATTAGCGCCCTTTAGTATGGGACTTGTGAATTTAAATTCTATAATCCTGAAACCCGGAGATACAGAGGGTATATTAACTCTCGAATTCATCTGTACTTTGCATTTTAGATGAGATGCCTCACCTTTAAAGGTCTACCTGGGTTGCTCGCGAAACCTTCACAGTCGCAAAATACAGCCTTTGTTTCCCCCCTAACTCTCTTCACCATTTGCTTTGTCTGTCCTGCACAGAGCGTTTTCCCTCTGCTCCAGTTAATCTGTCCTGTCACAGTGTGCATTGGCTTCTCAGTTCGGAGATTGCACCAGGGGAAAAGACTGCTGTCGCTTCTTCTACACTGGTGAAAACGAGCGCTCACTTGCAGACTGGTGCATTTGGGTGTATATCTTCCAGGACTTCCCCTCCTGTTCTTGTAACTATGGGTCATCTTGGGCAGGAAATATAGCACGCCAGTAAGTACAGCACTAATTAAGAGCTGTCACTTACAGCTTCTTTGCAAGAGCAAGCGGGCCTATGACGTATCTGTTTTATTCACAAAAGGCTTACACTCATCTCCGTGACTAGAAAACAATCGTTTCGTCGAGTCCTCCCATTCAAGCAACCCTAAGGGCTTTGTACAGGACATTTTGAAAAAACAATATCGAGAAGAGGAGCTCTAAACAGCTTAGAAGGCATTTGCCCTCTTTTCTTTTGTTTTGTAATTTTGTTAAACAAAAGTGATAAGTTTACAAATCAGATGGGGGCAGTTTTCAGCCCTTGCCAGGGGTAGGGAGCAGAGCTTTTCTTCAGAAAAATAATTTCTTTGGCACTTAGTTTCTCTGCACTCCTCTGGGGTTGTTCAGTTCTGCGGCTGTGGTGTGCTGTGTTAAATTCTAAGTGCCAGATAAGAGAAAAGACAACTGCCCATTTTCTGACGACCGCAGTCTCATGCGCTTGATGAACTCCGGATATCAAACACCAAGTATGT